TATTTAAGAACTAAATGCAGCGAGTGCAGTGCTTGGAAACTTCACATAGTGGGCTGATTTTCCAAGGCAATGAGCACCTGTATGTCGTATCTTATCTTGGTTTCAGTGCAAGACAATGTGATTGAGTGCACCTGAAAATCAGGTCAGGAAAGTTCACATGTTGTCACAAACAGCACTTCCAGCTTATGCGATGATTAAATGCTAGATGTTCAAATTCACTTAAGCATGAAGTCAGACAAGTTCACCTGACGTGTCTTCATTAGACTTCCACAATTACGTGATCAGTCTCACTGGTAACAGTTATATGATATTAATTTATTAATTTACCCACAGATGTGCTGGAACAGAGCAGCCCCAGGGCCCCTGCTAGACAGCATAATGAGCTGGTTCTGAAATCATATCTGCATATGGCCACAAGAAAAGGTAGGATGACAAATACAATCCTTTTCCTTCAGCCCCTCTGTGGGGACAGCACAACTTGAAGGCAAACTACTTCACCTTGATGCCACACATCATACTGTACAGTACAGAGGAACGAGAGAACGGAAACAGGCAGCTTTTTCCTCCCCTCCCCATCTCTCCCACTGGGCACACGGGCACCCACTTGAAAGAGTCAGAGCAAATGGGAGCAACAGAAGCACAACTCCTGCTTAAGCAGTCATTTTCTTCCATCAAGGGAAGCATACGTCTTCATCGCTTCCTGCCCTGCGCAGGGCATCCTGGCTAGTGCAATAACTGAGGTCATAAACACGATTGGTGCTGAATAAGCCTTTCCTTGCCTGGAGACCTTTGTATTTGTGATCAGCAATAAAAGGCTGTATTGGAATTTAAAATCCCAGCTCGGTAAAATGCCAGAGATGATTATTTAAAGGCTTTAAATCAAAAAAACTGGCTGTAAGAATCACATTCATATTGCATGGCTGTGGATTCCTACCTGAGTAATGAAAAAAGCCCCAAATAAGACAAGACAATAAAACACAACCTGGGCTTAAGCAAGCATTGTTTTTTGACAGTATTTCTCACTGTTTTAAACATTAGCTGCATGCCCATATATTTGTGAGACTTTAATTGCTCAATTTCTAGCGATTTAACATTACTAAAATTTACATACTTCCACAATCAAAATTTGAGAAGATAGAACAATGAGAAGAATCATGTTTGTGTAAACCTAAACAATTAGAACAGTACTTTTTTTTTTTCCCTAAGGTAAGTCACTGGCAGAAAAGGCAACCAGCATCCTACATATACTGAATATATCCTGCATCTCCAAGTTCCTTTCCTGTCTTTTTATGATCCCAATTTTAAATCATGGATTGAGAAACAGGAAAACTAATAAAGAAGATAAATTTGCCAGAAAACTAACCACACAAATGATTAGATGCAAGCAAGCACTGAAAAATGAAGTCCAAAAAGAGCGGCCAGAACTTCAGATGGGACAAATTAGTACTGGGAGCAGAGGATGCTGATTAGCAAGGATTAATGAGTAGAGACTGGACTGCATGAACATGGGGATAGTGTGGAAAGTGCAGCACAAAGCACTGTGTGTGCATTTGTACACTTAAGATGACTTGAGTTTGCAAGTAAGAAGCAGAGGGCATTCTCCAGACTGAGGTCTTAGCAATGTCACCGTTAACAAACAACCTTCCGACTTGTGGTTAAATCAATATCCAATTGTTATACATAATAGCCTGCACTCTTAGGAAAGACATCACACTGCTAATTCCAGATAAGTCAAGTCTGGCCTTACTTTGTTTTCTTCTGGAGCATTACCCCACTCAAGTTTATCTTTCATAAATGCTGACACAAGCCATTATGACTTAATATTGTTTCATAAACAACTTTCTTTTCTTTCTCTTCTTTATTCCAAATTATACCCACAGGTCTGATTGATACTTTAAATTGCAACAACAGACAGCTAGACAGGTATGCTGTAAGAAACTTTATCTTAAGTATTTATTGTTATGCTCGAATATCACTCGGTTTTCTCTGGGGTAATTCGTCACTCCTTGTGGGAAATATGTGACCTCATTTGCATTTTCTAATTGAATTGCTATCATGTTTCCTGCAAGACTGAACAAAAAAAAAGTTCCTAGAGTTACTAACACCATTTGCATTAACCAGAAATAAGTTTACCTGAGTATTTTCTGGGGAGGAGGGGAAAATGCATATTTTATGTTATCTGAAGCATATATTTTAAATATTTACCTTCTTTACCATCATTTCATCCTCCCAGCATGAAGCTTTACTGTAGTCATTAAGGTTTTTTTATTACAGCAGTTGGGAGTGAAATTTTGCAAATTCTCCCAGGTTATTCAGTTATTGAATGCAATTAGCACACTTATAAGGCCAACATTAAGAAGGAGGGAACGCTGTTATTGTGTTGGACCACTCACCATCATAATGCCAGCTTAAACAGAGAGAAACTGCACGGCTGTGGGATCTGAGGCACAAGTGTAGACACCAAAAAAACTGATTTTGCTATGAAGGCACACAAGGGGATGCCTATCCTGACAGCAGCCATCCTGAACCGACTCACTACCCACCCTGCGGACACACTGGCCATCAACAAAGCTCTCCAAATATGCCATGGGAATTTCCATTCCTATATACTGCAGTAATAAAGGACCACAAGCACAAAGAAAGATGTTTTTGAGGGTCGTATCCTCTGTGCCTCCCAGGAAGCAGACCATCACCTCCATTCTGCAGGTAAGTTATAGGTCAACTCCTATGTTAACTTCTGCTATAACATTCCTTCTGTACTAACTTTTGCCATATGTCTGATAATGACCATTCCAAATAGGATAACTATGTCTTAACGAAGCTTTAATTTTTGGGTAACTGTAAACTGAATTACAGAATCACAAGGTTGGAAATGACCTTCAAGATCATCTAGTCCTACTGCCCTCCCACTACCCTCTCTACCACAAGCACTAAACCATATCTCATAGTTCCTCATCCAGACACCTCTTGAACACTGCCAGGGACAGCAACTCCACCACCTCCCTGGGCAGCCATTCCAGTGCCTGAGCACTCTCTGAGAGAAAAAGTTCTTCCTTATGTCTAACCTAAACCTCCTCCAGTACAACTTGTAGCCATTTCCTTGTGTCCTATTTGTTGCCTGGGAGAAGAGGCCAAACTCCTCCTCAATACAACCTCCCTTCAGAAGATGTAGAGTGCAATGAGGTCTCCTCTGAGCCTCCTCTTGTCCAGACTAAACAATCCCAGCTCCCTCAGCTGCTCCTTGTAAGACTTGTGCTCCTTTTCCCTTTCAGTGGTGATTCAGGAAGGAAAGAGGGGCTCCATATCTCACGTCACTCCACCCCTTCTCTCTTATACTTTCCATCTCCACAGTATGAATGGACCAGAACAGTCAGAGAAATCTTTAAAACAATAGTGTAGTTTTGTTTGAGCCACACTGTATCTTACAAAAACAAATGTGAAATCTGTTTCCAGTAAAAGCCATGGAATGCAGCGTATTAAGGTCATGGCCTGAAACATGTTGTATTGGATATTGTTGGGTTTTTTTTATGTAGCACTATTATTTTTGAAATGAACCCATAACTACATTTCTTTCTTTAGTAAACAAAGGATTACTTTGCTTGCAAAAAGTACAACCATTTAAATAAAACAGAATTTAGATGCCTACTGTAGGGACTCACAATAAAGCTCCTTATGACCTTGTCATTAGTTGCGTTTTTAATATTTTCCCAGCCTCAAACTGTACACTAATAAGGCTTTTAGAAAGGAGGGATATGAATTTTAAAAAGCTCAACTCTCTTTATTTTTGAACCACAGTTCAGCTTATATTAACATCAGATGAATTTCCAATCAAATATTTTACTAAAGCACCGATGTGTACTTAGTTTTCTTCCTGCTACACTAAGAAGGAATTTAAAGCTGTATATAAGACACCTTACTTTGTTCCTTCAATATTTAATTACTTTTAGAAGGAAGCAGTATTTCTTTGGTTAGAAAATGGCAAATACAGCTGACATAACATACAGGGCTTAATTATATCTCACACAAGCCAGAATCTTACTGAAGAGCAGCAGAAATGTATTTATGTGACTCTAAGCCATGCAAAACCTCAGGGGTCAGCCCACTGGGTGACTACTAGATTTAAGACTCTCCAAGTCTTCTCCATCACATCTCACACATGATACAATTCCTCCCAAATGCTGCAGCTTTCTTACACCGAGGCACAGAAAGCTTCTCTCCCTCCTTCCCCCTCCTGCTCTCCCCTCTATGCCCAAGCTCTGCAGAGAGAGCAGAGGCCAGGCTTGCAGTGACAGCCACCGCAGTGCATTAATCCAACCTGCAGCTGTGTCCAATTGGCCCTGACTGTCCATTCATAGCTGACACCCACCTTCATCCTTGCTCTACAAGGTCTTCAAGACTCAGCAATAAATTGGGTCCTCAGCCAATTTCCTGCCAATTTTACCCTAAACATAACCTCAAATCTAGCAATGTGCTTAAATATAACCACCCAGCCAATGAAGAATTGTTTTTTTTTTTTCTTTAGGTAGAGAGTGTGACCATGCTTAATCAGTGTTGCACGGAATCAGTCCAGATTTACATTGACAAGGAAGAACTGCTTCTGCTGAAGATGATATGGAAGAGGTGGGCCAGTGAGAGCTACACAAAGAGCAGACCAGAGGAATTTGTGTGAGGGGGAGGGCCAGGGGGGGAAGGGAGGGGGAACAGCAGTCCCTGATTTCATTGGCACTGCACAGCCCATAGCTGTATTTAACTGAGGCAATACTTTTTACATTGCTGGGCAGGGAAAGATTCCTGCTTTGGAACTACATGCATGAGACTAAAAGAAAGTAGGCGGCAGTAAAACATTTGCAAGGAATTTCCTACTGCTAATGGTGGTTTCCAACTAGACAAATCCCCTTGAAGCACAGACCTGATAACACAATCAATTCTATGTTCCATCCTATGACTTCTCAAACAGAGTCAGAGGAAGAATGAAATAAGAGCTCTGAAAAGATCCCTACCTTGTGTCCATTGTGCTGCAGCTTCTCTCCCACCAGAAACCTGACGATGGCCTCCCACCTGCCAAGGGTCTGCGGATCCCAGGCGGTCACCATCAGGATCAACTGCTTTGAGGCCATTTGCACCTCGTGGACAGCATACATGGTCCCATCTGCTCTCACTTTGAAGTCCAGGCTGTTGGTTTCATACCGAACTCCCTTATTACCGGCACAGTTATTAAATTTTACTAGAACAGAGAGCAAGAGATAGAAAAAGTGTGAGATTGGAGTGATAAGGAAAGCAATCAAATACAAGTTTCAGACGTTTAATTTTCACTGATGTCTTCTATATCTCTAATAACCATCAAGGAAATGATTTAACTGTTTCTTCGACCTTTCAGGAGCGCTCTTGTGCTTAATCTCCATTCCCTGGAGAAGTTGTAAGCCATTTTTAAAGTATTTGATACAGTTTCATTAGATCTCAAACACAGCTGTTCCCCATTTCTACAAGTGGATTTCTCCCTTGTCACCATTATCTTTTAAATTCGACGGGAGTCTATTACCCACACTGTGGGTATTTCTTTTGCACAAAATGTTCTCCATTTCCCTAACCCTTCAATAACCTACTTACCAGATAGCCTATTTGCACATTCTTAACTGAAATTTAAAAGCCCATAACAATTCCATTATCAGAAATAAAGAAACAAAAAAATTAAACAAAGAAGGAAAATTTAAACCATTCTGGGGAGCGCATCTGCTGCTAGAAGCAGGTCCCCACAACCAGAGCTGCAATCCCATACTGGATAACCACTCATGTTACAGCATGAGGAACTGTAAACCTTTGATTCACAAATTGCAACTTGTCATTTGAAAGCTTGCACCATCAGATCCAAGCTCCTCTTTAGATGGTATTTTTACTCTTGGCCTTTTTCAGTCAAATACATTTACAGTTTAGTTTGAAAACTGTTTTTATTGGCATTATGAAGCATGTCACATACATTAGGCTGGAAAAAAAGCAACCCAAACTATTAGATGACAAAATTGACAAACCTGATAGAAATTGAACCTGCAGCTAATCACGTAGGAAACAAAATGGCTTTCTGCCATTCAAGTAATCCACAGGGTGGAACACACATGTGGTGAAAGAAAACATATTGTACCTGTAAAAATATCTCAAGTGAGTGTGAATTGTTACAGAACTAGGACCATTAGTTGGCTTCTCAAATGCTGTGGCTTCTGAGTGCTTCACAGTGCTCCTTGCCTGCTCTGAACATAGCAAGATCTGCTGACCCAGGTGTTGGAGCTTCAGCAGACACTTTGCACAGGACAGACTAGTGAGGTGGCTGCTGTAGGAGAAAGAGCTCAGAGGCAGTCGAGGCCAGAGGAGCTCCTGGAGCCAGCATGACACAAACCATCTCAGTGAAGGTTTCTTGACCACAGAACCCCCTTTCACCTCCTTCAAAGTGCACCCCTCCCACATCAGGATGCCATAAACATGCCATAACCATACATTTACAGAGGCTTTTCAGGCTGAGTATTGAGTTAAACCACATCATCAGTACATTCCTATGTGCGTGTGGTGGGAACTGTTAGCTAATGCTGCAGTAAATTATTAAGCACAAACAGTAACTGTCAGACATTGATTTACAAAAAAGAAGACAGATAAAGTTACCTAGTATATAAAAAATAAAGTATGTAATGCTTTTAAGCAATTTCATTGTTACAGTCTACAGCGCTAGGCTTTCCTTAAATCTGGATGCAGGGAAAATAGAGTCCTTCCATTTTGCTTTGGAAAGCAGGGGTTTGCTGTCTTTACCTTTACTGTAGCTCAGCCTGCAATAAATAACCTCCATGCCTATCTCATCTGAAATGCTTTAGTCCAGACATTTAACCAGTTATCTCTGCTTTCTATCTCGAGAAGCATAACAAATGCTTTTCAGTGTAATAGGAAGCGGCATCTCCTGCATCACTCACAGTTTGAATGAAATGTTGGCCACCATTCCTCTAAGGGACAGGATATTACTTAATTGCTGCTTTGACCACAGATTGAAGCTCTTGGCATCCTTGCTTTTTAGTCACTGTCCATCAGCAAGGTGTTGATATCCAGAAGTCCGGAGTGGGGGATTTCTGTCTTGTGATGGTGAAACTCCCATCAGGCTCAATGAATAAGAACTAGTCAGCGCTTAGGATTGGGGTCAACTGGCACAAAACAGAAGGCCAAAATTTCTCATCTCCCAAAACAAGGTATTCTAAATAGTGTACTGGGGATAATCCCTATCACTGATCTGACTGCAGGAACAATCCCAGGCCAGTGCTCAGATCACACCAGGCTTTGTTCACTGACAGTAAAGACCCAGCCAACAAGCCCACGTATTGACTTCATTTAGTTTTAAGCTAGTCTGAAAAATGATTCATGAAAGCACCAAATGAGGTCAAATACAGGCAGTTTACTGGCACCTGCAAGAACCTGGGGTGGCTTCAGGGACAAAGGAGGTGGCCAGTGCCACCATGGAGATGTCCCATGCCCTGTGGCGTTCCTCCATCTCCCAGGACCTTCTGCAAAGCTCCCTTGCATTCGCTAGGGATTCGCTAGCTATAACAAGTAGGTGCAAACACGTTGAGTGCTTTGCTGCTAATACGGTATTTATTCTCATCTCTGCACCATCAGCGTTGTTAGAAACAGGTCACATCCACTGGTGTATTACTGCAATCTTCTGCTATATAATGGCAGTGCAAAAAGCAACTTCCATCCATACCTCCTGAAGTTCTAAACTATTATTTACAAAAAAGACATTTGAAGAAGAGAGAAAGGAGTGATAATGACTGCACATTAATAAGAATTCAGAGTCTTCTTTGATTTTATTGAGAAGGAAAGCAGCCTCACAGCATAGTAAGAGTCAGAGGAAAGAAAAAAAAACAACAAAAAAACTCTTCCTATATGTGCATGCAGTGATTTTGGGACTCAAAGTACTTAAACATCTGCTTAAGACACAGCGCGTTGCTCCAATATGCTGCTCTGTGTCATATGTCACTGTGTCGACTTTTATGCTCCATTATCTAAATATGGCTACCTCTTAGACAAAGTCCCTCTGTGCCTTGCTAATTACTTCCATTAGTTTAAAACAAACTTGACTAGAGACAGAGAAAATCCTGAGAGAAATTATGTCTAATTTTTTAAACAAGCAACGTCTCCGCTCCACACTGCGCTCTCAGGTAGCACAGGTAGAGGGATGCAGCAATGAATCATGCAGCTCCACTGAAGAGTCCTCAGGAGCTGCAAGCAGAGAAAGCTTTCAAGGACACCAGAATTCCATTGTGCTTAGTCACAGCCAGAGGCTGCACAGTGCAAAACAGCCCGAGCAGCAGCAGGCAGGCTGGACCCAGGAGCACCCCAGCAGCTGGCTGCTCAGTGCTGCACGTTTTTAAGGCCTCATGCACCTATGGCCATGTCTACACTAGCAGGTGACAGCGTGCCCCAGCAGCAGACACTGAGACCCAGTGCCTTCCTGCTCAGTCCAGCAGTCAACCCAACCCCAGGCTCAGCCTTACACTGGCAGCAGCGGGCCCTACTAGTTACAAGGCATGAGTGTGAATTAACAAATTGATTTCACCCGAGATCTGTTCACCCCTGTGACTGGTGATGTTCAAAAGTCAGTGCTACCAGTAAAGCCGGTGCCTTTCTGCCAAGGCACAAAGCAGAACACACGATCACGTCCTGTCTTACGTAAAGCAGTACAACAAACACAATTGCTAACCATCCTCCCTGCTAAGTCCTCTGCTTTCCCTCAGCTTGTGGTAAGGAAGCTGTGAGAGATGCCCACAAGCAGATCTCAAAGCAAACATTCTCCTATAACCAGTGCTAATAAAGAAGCGAGCCTGGCTTTGCAGATGATTTCAGCCTCACAGGGGAGGCAATTCAGAAACTCATCAAGGCCCAAATACTGGGGACCACGGTGTTTAGCTGCTGTTAGGTATTGCTGCTGTTATTGCTCTAGGCACCATTTGTACACAGCATAGAAAACACATCTGCAACACAGTATGGATGAACTGCTCACATTTTCACCACACGGCTGCAATGGCTGACATTAATAATCCTGTGGTTGTCCTCTTTGCTTCCATGTGAAATGGTTCTTTGGAATGCTACAGAGAATCATTTCACATGCATGTATATATATATATATAAATACATAAATATACTTCCATATTTTTCTATGTATTCTATATATTCGCATATCTACATATTTAATATCTTACCAGATACATATGTATGGATTGGAAAAAAATTCTGTTGCAAATGCTACAGCTCAACGAAAGGACATCTCCATATTTTCAAGCCCCACCTCTTCCTTCTCCTCTTTGCTCTCATGGAGACAGAAACTAAAATTTCACCCACTGGCAGAAAATTTTATTTTTTCTTTCAATCCTTCAGAAAGATGTAAATCCATGCAATTTGCAATTGATGCAACTCTTGACTCTACAATAATTTAACAAATAAACAAACATTGGCTCTGTTCACAGGACTTAGATCTCTCTGTGGACACAAATCCATCTTTCTCTGACCAGTTTGAAGTCTAAAGAACAGTGCATGAATTTAACATTCAAAAGCGGGAGCATGAGTAATTAGGGTTTCAGATAAACAGCAGAGCCATACATCTATCATTTTTACAGGATGGTGAAAAAGAAAACTTTTTTTAATATACTCTGGAAAAATGTTCAGTGATGCTTATCGAAAGCTTATGCTGAAAACAGCATCAAATGCCTGATGAAAAGAAAACCAAGAAGGCACCCTCATTAGCAGGCTTTTAGGTTTAACCCTTTACCCTCATCATTTTTAATTGCTCCTCTATGAAAGGAATACAACAATTTGATACATGCTGAAAAAGGTATTGAGCGATGGGAAAAAAATCTGCAGGAGTCTGCAGCAAACTGCTGGGAACCTGAGAAAAAAACTGGGATCTTTCTTCAAAAAAAGACAAAGGGTAAAAAAATTCAACAAGTTTTGCATTGTTCCCTTTTATTATTTAGCTTGTTAAGCTAGCTGGACAGAGTCAAATGATCAGGTGAGGATCTTGAAAGACATATGAAAACACTGAACTTCCTTGCCCTCCAAATGCCTGAGAAATACATTAAATTTAAAGGACTATAAATGGTATAAACCAAAGAACTGACTTTAAGCCTTATCCTTCTGGATTCTCTGTTAGCTTCTGCTAGTCCATTAAAAAGTGCCCCCTCTGGCAAGCTGCACAGG